GTGATATTTTGAATGCAACCTTCTTATAAAGTACTGGTGATACCTTTCATTTCCTAAAGACAATATACATACCGTGGAAGAGGACATTTGCCACTCAATCTCTCATCTTCTATGTAGCGATGCAGTACATCCTGTGACCTTTTCAAGAGCACAGAAAGTGCCATTCTAGAGATGTAGCCTTCCTGAGGAGTTGTGACTTTATTACTGAACGAAAACTGAAGCAGTGTTTCAAAACACACCTTAGAAAATTCCTCTCTCATTCGAATATCTATTTCGGCTTCTGTCAAAGCAAAATGTCGTATTTAATTGTGCAGCACGCATGCCAATACACTAAGTGTTGCATTTCAGTCAGGTTATTACATTTTACAAAAAGGTTATCGCTCCTCTGGTATTAAAGAAGATTAACAGGGATATGAACAAATATTAAGAATACCTTCTGAGAAAAGGTGACTGCGCAATAATCACAATAGTTCCAAAAATAAAAGATAAAATACGCAGCACATAGAGTAGTGTTTTACCTACTTAACATTGCTTGAATAATAAAATCTTCTATGAAATCAGTTAAAAAAACCCCAGCAACCCCAGCTCTACATCCTAAGTATTAATATTTGGTACTGTACAATCCAAATATTTTTCTCTGTAATGACTTATGTCCATTTTTTTAATCTTTCCATAAAAACTATAAATGTTTTTTCTTTAAGGCAGTGAAGGTATCTGGTTAAGTATACCATATAGTTACGCTAAAGTAATTTAGTTTTTAAGAACAGGATATTATGTATGTCTTACAACTGTCTGAAGTTATTGTTAGAACTATTTCAGCTGGCACAATGCAAAACAAACTATGTACAAAGTATAAATATAAAGTAACACAAGTACGGTATTATTTATGATACTGACCAAGAAGTAAGGAAATAATTTTTAAAAAATTGCAAGGAATGCTTGGCAACTTCCATGAAATAAAATACAGTTTATAAAAACAAGCTGTATAGCAAACAGTCTATACCGAATACATGCCATGGAACTTCAAGTCTTTATCAGAATAAGTACTCTCAATATTTTCATTACTTTCTAGTAGATTTATACATCATATTCTTTTGTCATCTGGGTACTATACCTGTAAAGGAGGATGACTGAGAATGTATGGAGCCTTTATTGAGCATAGTCATTATTTGACCAACAAATTCCTTAGGAATAAAATTAGCATATGGCAGTATCTCTGTGCTGATAAGCTGCACCACCTAGAATAAATTAAATATATTTATATTGGTTTTCTGAATATTAAAGCTGTAAATCTAGTATGAAGAAGACAGAAACATCAAACAAAAGAGACATGCTAATGAAACTTCACAAAATCTTCCAGTGCTACTTTTTAAAATTTGCAGTATGTCCAAAAATTGTGGTGTTGCGTGCATGCAACATTAAATTTGAAATAATAAACTTTGCCCACACACACACTTGTCAGAGTTTCTGAAGCAGTGATCACTCAGATTTCTGCTGACATTTGAAGTATATTCTTCAAATCAAATTATGGTTTTGAAAAGAGAAGATCTAACATTAGGAATCTCCCTCTTCCTCCACCTAAATCCACCAAGATGATCAAGGGACTGGGAAGTCCTCCGCATGAGGACAGGCTGAGAGAACTGGGTTTGTTCAGCTTTGAGAAAAGGAGGCTTAGAAGGGATCTCATCACCATGTACCACTACTTAAAGGGTACTTACAAAGAACATGGAGGCTCCCTTTTTACAGGGAGTCACATGAAGAGGACAAGAAGCCGTGGATACAAGTTACTCTTGCAGAAATTCCAACTGGACATGAAAGGAAAATTTTTCACAATGAGAACAGTCAACCATTGGAATAATCTCCCCAGGGAAGTGGTTGACTTATACACTGGACACTTTCAAGATGCAGCTGGACAGGGTGTGCTGGGCCATCTTATCTAGACTGTGCTCTTGCCTAGAAAGGTTGGACCAGATGATCCTTGAGGTCCCTTCCAACCTGGTATTCTATGATTCTGTGATTATGATTAATTCAATATCCTCACTATGACATTAACACATATATCACATGCTTACAATGTGACATCTGCAAAGAAGAACAAGTGAGTTAATTATCTAAAACAAGCTTAAGGCAACGCACGTTAACTGAAATACTTTCTACTCATGGTCTTGATGCTGCCATTCTGGAACAAAGTGGATTTAGACCTCCATAAATTAATGCATCGGATCTGAGTTCTGCCCACTGCAGACAGAACTGCTCCCGCTTTTCATCCAGAAATCTTTGTGTCCCAGCTGCCACTCCGGAGAGATGACAGGTGATCAAACCCACACATACTGCCATGTCTTCTCTGCAACTCCTTTGCACCCCTAATCCTTCCTGGCCTGCCACATCTCTTTGTCCTGGAGTGAAAGGGGACCAGTCCTTCATGCCAAACATCATCATCTCTTAATTTTCTTCAGCCTTATCCAAGTAAACATGATCTCTTTTACAATTACAGCACCCTCTGTACTACACAAACAAGACATCATTTCTTCATTTATGCACAAGCTTTTCAGTATTGAGAACACATCTGGAGGGCAACAGTGAACTGAAGGCCCCCCCTCAACACAGAAAGCACCCACTTTAGGTTTAATTGTCAGCTTCCTCCTGTGGTTTACAATTACCCATGTAATTGCTTGGCAATAACATAGTAAGGAAGAATCAGAGAATGGGTTAGAGGCAAAAACACATTTTGGTTTTGCCAGTCTATGCTGTTTTGAACTTGAGTGGACAGGAAGTAGTTTTTGGAATGCCACTTCCTACTTTTTGCATAACTCTGAAGCAGCCAAATTCCAAGCCTATGAACTTCCTGTCTTGTTTTCAAAAAGGAAAACAATATCACAGAAAAAATAATGAATGGGTAACTTTTCAAAAAATTATTTCAGAACCAAATGCAATCTGTCATTGTCACTATCTCGTTATGTTCGACAGTGTATTTGTTACAGTCTCCTTACCTCAACATCAATACTCTCATTCTTCTGAAATTCTTGAATTGAGAGATTATCAGGAGGTGTACTAAAAATAAACATACTATGTTATAGTTTTAAATTCATAATGTGTAAGGAGATAGGTATGGGAAAATGCATTGCATTTAAAGTTATTACATGCATCAAGTTGGTACTATTATATGGTTAACGATTAACATTTTAGAATAAAGTCTTATGAATAATGATGATAAAAATTATTCAAAGGAAAAAAAGTAGCAAAACACTATAATTAAAGAGTTACAACTGATGGACCTGATTAAGGACTTGCATCACCAACACCATTTTTCATACGCATCTCAAAGTAATCTCTCTTGTCTTATACATGCAAAAGCCACACTATCTGTTTAGATGAGTCTGTGAAGGTAGCATCAGGGGATCACAGTTTATTACATTTTACTTTTTCTCTCATTTTGCAAGATAAGAGACTTTTGATTTTCAGCAGTACATCTGTAAAAAACTTCATTTTACATTTTCTCTGCATTAACGAAACACTTTTCATTAACAGGACATTACTTTGTCTTTTTTCTTGATAACTGAAATGATATATTTGTTCTCACTCTTAATGAATTTTATGAAGAGACAAACCCATTTTACAAACAATAGTTTTGAAGAAATTCAGAACTTTCTGCAGTTCTTCCATTGTATATAAAAAATTATTTACACATGAAATGTCCAGAAGTGATTCAAACATGAAAATTACCCAATACTTCACAAGATCCTACCTTACCTGCTTGTAAATTTGGAAATCTTGTATCATTTGATCGGAAATTTTATGTCAATCATCAGTCATGCAGTTTTCTCTGGTGAAGTTTTATCTCATTTATTGAGTCCTTCCCTGTACTTACTGGACTACCCATTCAGTGAATTCAAATTCCTTTCTTTCGCTGGATTATGCTTCTGCTGAGTTGTTGGGCCAAGCTCCTCAGCAGAACAGAAAGAGCAAAGGCCTCCTACTCGGACAGCAATCGACTACTTCAGCTGATGTTCATCAGTGTTTTAGTTTGGATCAGAGATGGGCTTTTCAAATTAAACTTGAAGACATTCCTGTTTATAAACCTTGGTTCATGTCTGGTCTTAGAGTGCATAAAACTGGATTAATTTTCGATGAAACTAAACCAAAAAATGTACCCCAAGCTCCTGTAGATGCTTGCATGACAGGAAGCCAGACTAGAGCTACTCTGAAATAAAACACCTAAAGTGAGAGCACTCTGCGGGTGATGGGTACAATAGCTAAACTCTGAAATACCTTGCTTATAGTCCCATAACCATAGGATTGCCTGCTAAAATCTACACAAATTCAACATACAAAATTAAGAGAAGAAAAACTGATTATGAGCTAATGGCAGCCCGTGGTACAAGCACTTTCTGAGCTACGTAAACTGAGAGGCTGAAGGACTGTGGTCACCTTGCGCTCTTCCTAAGGTATCCCACTAATCCAACAGAAACAGCACATAGGACTAGATATGTGTCTGTTCTGATCTAGTTAGGCCGTTCTCCTTTTTCTGACATGCAGCAGAAGTCAGGATCCTCACACCTATGTCCCTCTGAAATGTAAAGACCGTTGCAAACCCCACTAGATTGTGGGTTTGGTTTCTCCATAGTGTCTGATTTGCACTGAAGGTAACCTATTACTAGAGCTAACGGAATAACCAGTAGCATTAACAACAAAAATCAAAGACATGGTGCTATATAAAGTCAATATAATTTCATATATTAAATTCTCTCCTTTTCCTGTAATTTTACTTTTTGTCTTTTTAAAATAACTGCGTAACATGGTCAAGCTGAGGAACAGTTTGCAAATGTGACCGCTTGAAAGGAATGGGTAGAAATATTGGAATTAAAATTGCCTGCAGTACTTCAACTTGCTGCTGTTGTGTATGTTTGTGTGTTACAACGCATCTTAAATTAGACGATGCTTCCCCCCCGCCCCGAAAAACCATCTGATTAAGTACAAAGAATGGTCACTACTGAGAAGGAAGGAAAAAGATAGGGTCAGTCTGCCACAACACTCCCTGCCTAATTTATGGCAAAATAGGCAGATGCAAGGAAAAGAGAGCTCTGGACTGAACAAAGACCCAAGCTGTTCTGTAAGCAGAGGAATCGGTGCAGTACTATAGTCACAAGCAGGCTGGCATCCTTTGGCTTACTTCCAAACTCCCTCCGCAGCCCCCAGCTTTCTCTCCACCCCATGTCCCTCTCCAGGAAACAACAGACATGTGGTGGGTAGTTGAGAACTACGTACATGCTCACTGGCTAGGCAGCTGCCAAATATACGATTGTGGACCTGTGCCAGCCTTGTCCTCGTAAGGGTACTCATCTGGGCTTGTCTTCTCCATCCCACTGCCAATTTTAATGAAAGGTTGAAGAACTTTAGAGGCTCCTAAATCTCATTCAAATCTGGTTAGTTTAGCTAACAGGGGTTTTTTTCCCCCCCCAGTGCTCCTGTATGATGGTGACCAAATCAAGTAAGATTTTTCCAAGATAGGCTTTTTTCTCCCACCTTTTGGGTGCTTAGCATGAGACACCTGAAGTTCAGTCTGCACACCTACAGCTAATTTTCAGTTTTAACAATTACGACAGTATGTACCTGCTTGAAAAATAAATACATCTCCCTTCCTCAAAGGGACTTTACGTAGACAACTTCACCACTGTCTGTGAAACATTCTAAGTGTTACACATGTGACCAGAAAAAAACCCAAAGAAGAAAATACGGAATACTGTATTTATTATTGGCTTGTGTATCAGGCAGTCAGGAAGTTTGGAGTTACATGTTGAAAACACAGAATAATATAAAGTACTAAGTAGCTGTTCAGTCAGTGCCTTTTGTAACATAAGAAGTCGTCAACTATGCAAACCTTTAAATAGTAATGTAACCTATCATGATGCATACAAATGCAGGTCATGTTGAAATACATGGGAAGCTTTCATTCTGACACTTCTTAATTTACAACTGACTGACCTTCCGAGCTGAGCTTTACTTTGAAGAGGTGTTAAGACCTTTCTCTTCAGTCATCCATATCTGATCTGCCATATATGCTACAGATTATGCTACATTCTTGTTCATGTAGCAAATGACTCACAAGTAAATAGATTTTTCTAAGGAAGGTGTCCATATGGAACATCTATCTAGGGGCCAAAAGCCTTGCTGGTCTGATGCAATATAGCCAAACTGTACTGGAAGGGTCAAGAGCCAGGGAAGGTAAGAGGCAGCGCGATGCAGACTGTTGCTACGTGCAGGCTTTCCTCGGTACAGAGCTCCCAGCCGCTGCCCACTGTCTAGGCAGGGCTTTAGAGCCTAACAACAAAGAGCTAACAGGCACCCAGCGTCCTGCTGTGCACCGCAGCGCTCTGCTCTGAAGCATCTTTTTGGAGAGTATTGATTTAATTCCCTCACGTGAGCACAGAT